TTGGCGTCTCACGTCAAAAAGATCCTTCTGCCATATCATTTTCGTTTTTGTTTGTTTTGTTTTTTTCTTTTATTTCATGGATGAGAAGTTGAAGTGAAGTGCTTGATTGTGTCTTTAATACTGGTTTTCCAAATTTGTGTGGGTGTAGTTGCACAATMAAACATTACGAGTACCTATTAATCRCGAATTGTACGAGCAGGTCGTGCGATTTTTCAGTTATAATCTTATATTCCTATCATATAGTCTCCCTAGCAACTCAATAGGTAGGCCTAAGGAGTAGAATTAACGATTAATTGTACTCCCCTCAACCAATCAAAATCGAGTAATTTTGTTGGGTGTACTATAAATTAAAGTATGCTTAAACTTGGATCGGAATTGGAATTTCAAGATGTTTGATTATTTCGATTGTATGGTAGCATAAAACGTTTTACCCAAGATGGCTTCACCGTACATTAGTAGCTTTATCACTGTCTTTAAAAACTTAGGAACTCATTTTTATCGGCCGCTTTAGATTCTTAGAGATTCAGGTAAACTATCCAACTCAGATATCCCAGTTTATCCTTCTCCCAGGCTCTTGTTTTTGGATAAAGTTTAGTAACGTCGACTAAATTTGGAGCGTATTTCACTGAAATAAGATATTGGTGACACATGTAGCTCAAATTTACGGGAACAAGATGTGCGAACAGGTCTTCTCAAACAAAGGATCTTATCTTCTCAAGAGAATGAGACATGATCTAAAAAAAACTACATTTCACTGCAGCTAAACACGTCTATTCATGCAACATGTGGGACAAACAATATTTTTATCGTATTGCTAATCTTCCATTGCATCAGAACGTCAACCGAGAGCCTGAAGTTGTGAAAAGCCGAAAAGGGCCAATACAACGAGGAAAAAATGTTGAAAACATATTAACTTAGTATTTATCTTTATACAAGAATTTTTTCATGAAACGTCAAGTATATACCTAAAAAAATGATTTATACGATGTAAGAAACCATTAATTAACAATAATCCTTTGGGATCCGGGATCCTGCCCCCTATTACGATCTTGGCTAACATGTCTTTCTCATTGAAGCAGAAATTTCTCTTGTATGGACGTGTTTAATGGACGCAGACAGGAAATAAAACRAGAATAGATTGAGAAAGAACTTGAATTGTTTTTTTAAAGAGAGCCGATATTGAACCATAGTCAGAGTAGGAGAAAAATCCAGTCCCCTCTACAGTCCCTTTTTGCTATTGTTCTTTTTCTCGTTCAATAAACACCGCTTTAAAGTCTTTGTAATTAGCACACAGACAAGCAATATACCGCAATATAACGTTGCTCTTGGGCATCATTTCCTACTAAGATCACCTACTACAACTAAACTACTATCATTCCAGGTAAGGGTCAGTTTTGTTAAGCGTCACGAACCTTTCCTCCGTATTCTAAGCCCACCATACAACGAAGTAAAAAATTAACCTTACAGAGTTTTAGTCGGGTTCGTTTAGCCCATGGGAATAAAGTTTGGGTAGATTGGATTCGATGGGTTCTGTTCGTCTGTTGAATATAAATATAAATTCTTGACTAACCGTTATTTTAGAAGTTTGAAGACCTTGGCCGGCTGCCGCACGCAAGGTACCATTTTGAGTAGGGATTTTTAATGTCAAACTTTAAAGGAAAGAAATAGAAAGAATATTATACCAACTATCCCCTGTAAATGTTATAGACTTTTTAAGCTAGCGGTTTTTTAATATTAATATTAATATTAAGTCAAATGCTTTAATCCTTCCTCTTACTGAGTTTATCTTACTTAGTTTCTCTTGAAGAATTCTGCTTTGAACACCGAGAAATTTAAGAGGAAACTCGTTTTATCGCATCACAAAATAAATTATTAAAATAAAAAATAAATAAAAATTAAAATTAAAAAAAAAAAAAAATCATTAAAAACGCATTACTCCATTCGCATCTAGATGGCAAACGTTAGATATACGAATCTTTCGACCCGGAAGTAACTCGTATTTTTCGCAAATGGCAGCCTTTATTCGGCGAGCAGCTCTCTGGCTTATTAGTGATTAGGAATGTTTTTCTGAGTCTGAAAGAATGAAAAAAGAACGGGTTTGTTCGTCCAGTTTACCATATTCAATCTGTTAAGTAGTGTTTACATAGACGCCTACCGAACGCCAACTGGAAAAACAAGGTAGATACATTGCATTGTTTTWAATTCATACTTATTAAAAGCTTGATTTTATTTTGTAAAAAAAAGTTCTTGACAAGCAAACGCTTCCTCGCGACTGAGTCAATAAAACTACGAAACGTTGCGACACTTCTTTTACGAAAATCTTCCTTAAATAAAGATGGCGTCTCAGCTTCTTTGTGGCAAATCAGAGAGGTTGRGCAAATTTACCAAGTAAAAGCTGACGTCAAGAGGAAAATCAAACAAAGAACATTTACGAGATAAAGTCATGAGATTTTCTGTCTAATGATGTCACTTTTTTGTTTGCTTTTGCTTTTGCTTTTAAGTTTTTCCGTTTAGTTACATGAATATAAAAGTCGTTCTTTTATCTCTCGGGTTTTCGACGGAAAGTAGGTTTTCAGTGATTTTTGAGGTCAGTGTGTCATCTTGGAAAACTGTTTGACTCAGAAGACTTCATCGACTTCAAAAGTAAGTAATTTAGCAATAATCTTACTTTTTTAAAGTGGTTATTAGCCGTTTCGGAGAGTCGTAGAAATGTGTCGTAATATGGGACCATTTTGAGGGACGCTTCATCAGCTGTCGGTCGAAATTTTATGCAACAAGAAACGAAATTAATTTGAAAATTAAAACAACAGTCAAGGTTTTCTATYTTTTTTCACTATTAGCATGCGAACACGCCATGTAAGTTAGTATTAAATTATCTTCTTAAACAACCCATGATGCAGCGAGACGCGTTCTGCACTCCGCAAAAGCTAATACCTATCAATCAATCAATCAATCAATCAGTAGTTTATTTAATTACGTATCGTCCAAGAGCTTATAAAGCTCGTTCAAAATACGAACGTGTACAAAAGTTTATGTATACATTAAAAACTATATTACGCTTGTATATGAATTATGGAGCTAATCTGTGAGTTAAAATGTATATCGTCARTTATGATAATGATGACGACAGTCTTGGTGATGGTGATAATGGATGATGATGATGATTATAATGATGGTATGATGATGATGTTATTGATGATGGTGATGTTGATGAATGATGATGATGATGATGAATGATGACGATGATGATATTCATGATGTTGATGATGAATGATGACGATGATGATATTCATGATGATGATGATGATGATGACGAATGATAATGATAGTTTTACTAAGAGGTTGTCCCATTACTGAAGCACTGAATACTGCAGAGAGAATTGTCGCATTAACAATTTGAAATTTAAGCCAAAATGACCCAAAAATATTCTTTATATGTACAAAAAATGTTTATTGGGTACAATATCTAAAACATGCTGCTTTATCCTGATTTTAAGCTTAAGAACTCATGCTACTTTTCAGGCTTTAATCGTGAGGCAGTATTCGGTATTCAAAAATTCTTTAGCAAACGCATCCGCCTATCAAGGTAGGTTTACTATTCAAAGCCCAACTAAACTTGTTTAAGAAAAAATAGAATCAATATTTTTCTTCATTCACTAAACATTTCACAATTGACAGARGTGACAGAAGCGACGTAATCTCTTTCATGTCTCATATTCTCATTGAGCGAAGAATATCAGAGAAAACTAACTTAAGTAATTTCGTAATGATTTTTGAACTCAAAGAGCCCTGTGTTCAATTCTATCGATCATAATCAAAGAAATTTACTGAAAGCGGCGCCTCAAATTCTTGATGTTGACCTAGCAACAGTATCGTAGCAACCATGGAAGAGGTTGCGACTCAGAAATAATGACTGCTATGCTCAGTTCTCGTTTTGATATTAAAGTATTTTTATATATTGTTTCTTTGGTTTTGTTGATGTTGTTGTTTTGGCAACGAYTGAAGATTAAACGTGATTCACGTTTGGCGGCAAAATGCTTCTGTTCTCCAAAAAAAAAAAAGAAGATATAACGTGTTTAATTATCACCTATTTGATTAAATTAGTTTATTAAAACCAATCTTTTTTTGTCGGAAATAACTTTTATGATCGACAAGGAATACATTATACAGTAACTGAATTCGGTAGATTATTACTAATGGATTATTACAAATCTCGATTCTGATTGGCTATCTAAGTCTGTTAGTAATAGCCCACTAGTGACAAATACGCCAAAATGATGACACTTGCCTGCTTAATTGTGTTTTGCCGAGACTTTGGTAAAATTTCCTAGGTTATTCTCTAACGTAACTTTGTTTATACTCAAAAATTAAAGCTAAGGTCCCATTACTATTGGCGCGTAAAGCACTTTAGGATAAAGGTCTAATTGTTAACTATCATTAACAAACATTTTAAAAAAATTGTAGAAAGATATAATATGAGAGGAATAAAGGCTTTCTGAAAAATGTAATTGCATTAACGAAGGCCATTCATACCAAAGTGACTTAAAATTATTTATYATAAGTAAGTGATTATCTTTTTCTGAAAAATAAAAATCATATTCAAGGCAAGTAATTCATTGAAAGAAAGCCTTATATTTTAAGTTTGTTTAAGGTTGATTTTGTCATTCAGTAGCGGCAGGATAAAAGAAAAAATCTGCACAATTTCCCTCTAAAATTAACACGACAAAAACGAAAATTAAGCTGTTTTAAGTCTTTTAAGGAAGAAAAAGCACAACTCGAAAATATAAAAGAAAAGTTTTAGTATACTCTGTGAATAATTGTAACAGAAAAATTCATTTCAATTTAAGTAATTTTTTACTCTTTTTCTTCTTAATAACTACGTTAATTGCAGTTTCATTGCTGGCTTGTGTAATCATCATCYCTCTCAATGAAAAAAAAACTTTCTTTGTCTCGAGCAAACAAATTCAGCTATCTACCTCTATGTTTTTCTCAAAAAATCAAGCTTCTAAGCACCTGGAAAAAACGAGTGAAACCTAATCTTTTTAATGCTTCAAATAAATTTGACTCTTGYTGTCATTCGATGAAGGAAAATTTGATTTTTCAAACATTCTTTGGAGCGAAATCGTCCGGTCTTGGAAACCCGGAAGAGAGCTTGTCATTTAGACAATTCGCTGATTAATGGAAGCTATTCCTATTGGTTGGTTTTGGTTGTGCAAATATGTCGTCTTATTCACTTAACACGAGACTTAAATCAATATGTTTTCAAATCAATAGCACTACCTTATAGGGCTCTGGGAAAGTTACACCTGTATCGACAAGAAACAAGAAGTACTTCCCTTCCCATGCAAGGTACAGTATCTACACTGATATAAAGAAGCTGTTCTTCTGACCCTCGTACGTTGAGTGTTGTGGCTACCGCTGCTCTAACTCGTAGTGGCCAAAATATGGAGCTGTATCTCTTAGTAATTTTGGCGCTCTCTGTTTTCACACAAGCTGTTCCTATCAAAGATCTTGGATCTCCAGGTAAAGTGAAACTTTCAAAAACTTTATTTCGTAAATAGTAAATATTGCATAGCGTGTTGCAGCTGGATTGGCGTGGTAAATTATAACGAGAGTCTTTTAGAAGCCAAAACCAAGCTAAACCAACATGTTTTACCTATTGTGACCAATACAACTCTTTTCGTATAAATACATAACACTTTTCTTTACTTTGCATAGTGAATTGCAGCTCGAGTCTTCGTGGTAAATCGTAACGAGATTCTTTTAGAAGCCACTGAAAACCAGGCTAAACCAACATGTTTTACCTTATGTGACCAATACGTCTCTTTTCGTATAAATACAGAATACTTTTCTTTACTTTTGCCTTGCTTATTCAGTATTTACAGGACATCAATATTTTTAATTCATAGCGACACCTAATTTTGTTGCTCAACTTTTTTGTTCGTCTCGCTTTAAAGTTTAGAAATAAAATCAAATAGGCACTTAAGCTGACAGTGATAGGCCGTCTGGTGTATGATATCATTATCTTTCTTGAGAAGAAAGGACTTAATTGAAGTGCATAGCAAGACCAAGTGTACCCAGGGCAACCGATGTAAAAAGTTCGCGCGAATTGCTGATTTCTGAATAGACTTGTTTATTGCTTAGCAGGCAGTACACTAACCAACCATACCATAATTGCTTTTTAAAATTTAAGTGTGTGAGGTCACTGAAGATCAAACTATAAGCCTGTTGCTTAGCAGGCAGCACACTAACCAACCAAGCAACACTTGCTTCTTAAAACAAGTGTGTTAGGTCACTGAAGATCAAACTATAAGCCTGTTGCTTAGCAGGCAGCACACTAACCAAATCAAGCCACACTTGCTCCTTGAAACAAGTGTGTGAGGTCACTAAGGATCAAACTATGGACCTCTTGCTTAGCAAGCAGCACACTGACCAACCAAACCATAATTGCTCCTTAAAACAAGTGTGTGAGGTGACTGAGGATCAAACTATGGACCTATTGCTTGCTTCTTAATGCTGCATAAATCACTTAAACTATGAGTACATCTGTGTCCTTGAAACTTGATATTACCCTGATGTATGTGTGGGAGGCCTGTCATTAGTCCAAGTGATGTATTTGCACTCTAAACTAACTACGCTCGATCAATGTGGCACAACATAGCAAACAAGAAGGTCTCTTATCTGGAGTAAAGAATAGATAACCAGTGTGAAAGATATCGGGAGGCTCTGGCAGACGTCGAACGCTTCATTTCCTAAATTAAATGTGTTCTGATAAATGAAGAAATGCATTTTGAAGTAAACATTTACATTTGTTTGATAACAACAGAGCTCCATCCACCCATCCA